ACACGACCGGGCAGTGTTCCATTCTGTTTTACATAGATAGGGTCGCTATGAGTCAGAGACCACTCAACGGCACCTAACAGCAATAGCAAGAGTCATGCTTTGTGGCTTGGTCAATTTCCCCTGCTGCCTATTTACCCATATACCCAAATGAAGTAAGATGGGCTTAAAGTGGCTATTTTTCCCAGATGTCCGGCCCAGTGTTCCATGTAGCTGGGGTGCAATGGGAAGAGACAATGGTGCAGGGTTTGCAGGGAAAAACTTCTCTATATTAGACTTTCTCTAATTTCAATGGGCAAAAGAACATCCCTTGTGACACTTGTTAAAAATGCTGTTTTCTGGCCCCTATCCCCAGAAACTCCTGTTCAGTTGCTCTGTGGTGGGAACAGGGAGTCTGCATTGTCCCTGTGCATGCCCTGTGATTGTGGTGATCTGGTCCAACGGACCATACTTTAGGAAACAGTGATCCTTGACAAGACCTAAGGGCCTTTGATTCTTAGAATCCCATTTAACTGGCAATTGTTTCGCCTGGTTGTGAAGCACTTTTGAGCTTCAGGAAGAAAGAGAGGAAAGGTTGAAGCCTTCTTTCTCATGTTCAACAAGCCCTCAGCTTGACTTCATCATTGTGGCTTCTTCCCAGCTAGAATATGTTTTCTTCCTGCTAAAGACCTCACGGCAAGCAATGATCTATAAGTAAGGAGCAGGATACTTGGCTCTTTATTGGGACTACAATGAGATGCTCAGTGGGCTATCCACTTTAGAGTCCACAGCTTGGGGTGAGAGGTCCAGGCTGACAGAGTCCTGACAGCATGATGAGAGTGCGGAGGACTCCTGTACTCTGCAGAAGATGCCAGCACAGGGAAAGAGTCATGCATTTTACTCACAACTCAGCTTCCTCTTTTTCTGCATCACCAAAACCAGCTCAAGTGCCCTCTGCCACCAACACAACCTCAGCCTAAAAGCCCCAGTCATTCCCCTATCTAGCCGAGTTTTTTATTCAGCAAAGGCAAGGTTATAGATTTTTTCCCTATGAATGGCATTTTCCAACTCTAGAAAATAATAAATGTTTATTAGAGAAAATTTGGAAAATACTAAAATATGAAAATAATAAAGTAGCTAAAAACCATCCATAATTACATTCTCTAAATATAATCTCTATTAAGATGCTGGTGTATTTTCTTTTAGCCTTTTTTTCCCCCTACGTATAAGGTTATTATTTATTTGCATTGTTTATAGTATACTGTGCACACATTTTGCATCCTACCTTTTTTTTCCTTTAAAATAATTATGAGAGATTTTCACAAAAATAAAATTAAAAAATAATTATATTTTTAGGTTAGCATGTAAGCTCAAAGCTATCTGTTTAGAAAATAATTGCAGATAATTTATTGAGTGAATGCAACATTATGTACATAGCTCAGTAGCTGGTGTCTAGAAAACATTTGATAAATATTTGTTGAAAGAATGAAAGAATGACTGGCTGGATGGATGCATTTCCTATTATTTGACATTCAATATTAACAAACATTGAATATTAACATTCAACATTTCCAAAGAGAACTTTATGGAATTAAGTAGAAGGGAGGTGGGTCAAGGAAAAGAGAAGAGGTAAAACTACAAACTTGGGCATATATATATAT